ACCAGGATGGTCTCGATCTCTTGACCTCGTGATCCACCCGCCTCAGCCTCCCAAAGTGCTGGGATTACAGGCTTGAGCCACTGCGCCCAGCAAGACATTAAGTATCTTTAAAAGACAATCTTTGGCTGGATACCGTGGCTCACGCCTGTAATCCCAGCACTTTGGGAGGCTGAGGACAGAGGACTGCTTGAGGCCAGGAGTTTCAGACCAGCCAGGGCAACATAGTAAGATGCCATTTCCACACAAAAAAATTAGCCAGGCATGGTGGCATGTGCCTACAGCACCAGCTACTGGGGAAGTTAAGGCTGCAGCGCGCTGTGATGGTACTGCCGCATTCCATCCAGCCTGGGTGACAGAGCGAGACTCTGCCTCAGAAAAACAAACAAAAAGATAATCTTTAGTCATTTTTTCAGTCACATACTATACAATATGAATCAGCATTAATTCTTTGCAAAACACAGCCTGTAATGAATGGCATTTTGAAAACTCCCGTTAGTCCCAGATTCAATTTCAAAACATTATTTAAGAGTCTGACACACATGGTCAACACGTGTCCTTGTGTGGCGTCTTACCCACTCCAGAGCTTCCATTCTGTGGCTGGGGCTTGCTGCTCGCTGGGCTGGCAGCTGGAACTGGAGGAGGAGCTACCTGCTGCTGCCCATGTCCTGAAGATCAGAGGGGAAAGCCCATGTTAGTGCACAAGATTTGGGTTAAGAGATTTAAACTCGGGTAGAAGACATGCTCTGGGAAAGAGTGCTTTTTTTATTTTGTCAAAGACTCCCATGGCTTAGAATTCCTGCTGAGGCATTCAACTGCAGGCAGTGAATTTGCTAGGGGTTCACTTTTTGTTTTCATTACACAAAAGGTTGGCTCCATTTACCTTTCACCTGCTTATAATTGATAGCCTTCAGTTTTAATGAGGCCCTCCCCTAAAGCCTTGCCCATTTCTCCTGCAGCAACCTGCAGTAAAGTCACTGGGTTGAATCTGTGACATTACCACTATTTCCATAGCAACAAATCGATGTCATCAACAGAACCGTGTGTTCACGGCAGGATCAATCAGAAGAAAAAGCTGGGTGGTAAGAAAAACCTAAAAGCAGTTCAATTGTCTCTGAAGTGCCCCTGCTTCAAAGGAATAGGAGATGTTCAGAAAGGATTCTACCCTATCCCTCCCAAACAAAGCAACCTTATTTTGCAACTGACAGTTGGTGGAAAATACAAGTTGAAAGAGTCTCGGGTACCGTGAAGTGCTGGTGAACTGTCACAGCGGGGAGAGACGAGAATGGGGTTCAGAAGCAGGAAGATTAAAAGGAAAGGAGGGGAAATGCGCATGTCTCTCAAGCAGAAAATAAGAAATGCATACCGTAAAAGTCTTACTTGCCCACCACTCTGCACAAACGTTTATGAAGCTGAAGAATGTGAAAACTGTAAAATACGCCTCATTTTGTGAAATAACAGATTTATGGAATCTGACTTTGCCTTTGTGATCGGCTCCAAAAGGCAGAAGTCAACCTCATCTGGGCAGCTCCCCAAGAGTACCTGCAGCACACAAAGGCAACTCAAAAAAATCTCCTAGCGTGCCCCAAGAACAAAAATGGCACGCACAGCTGGGAGAGCATCCCACCTGCCACCCTGCCTCTGCCTTCTCCGACTGCTGAGTTCACGTTCCTGCTGCGTCTTCCAAGGTCCTAACTCAAATGGGCACATTACACACTGATTCAACTGACCGCTGCCAATACTACTCTTAACTGGCACAACTAAATGAGAGGTGGCCGTGCCATTAGAGTAAATTGAGCATAAATTAAAAAGGTTAAATAGAACCGTTCAGTTCATCCTATGGAGAGAAAAATTGAGACCTTATTTACATAGAAAAAGAGCCAGGTTATTGAGAGTGAAATTTTTGTGTTTACATTTTGGCTTTTCCATTATCTCTGAATTTACAAAGTGTCACACAGAATTTCAAGGGAAACTGCTCTTCCCTGACAATGCATCTTGTGAAGGAATAGTCTAAAACGCTGCAGTGAACCTTTTTTTAAAATCAGTAGAAAAAGAACAGCTACTCAGTAAATGGTATTGGGGCTAAGTGGTTGGAAAGAAATAGAACAAAAGCTGTATCGTTACCTGCTTCCTGAATTATATTCAAAAGAATAGAAATGTAAACATTCAAACACAGGCGAGCACCACAGAGCTACAGAAACCCCGTGTTCTCCTTCCCACCTCCTCCCTCTCTTCTACGACCTCCAAAATCTCTCAGCTGGAAAATCCCCTCCTCAGATTGTGTCTGCTTGTTCAAGTACCTTGTTGAAAAGGACACGGTCATCTGATCTTGCTCAGCACATACATTCAATTTCTATAAAAATGTAACTAACTCTTAAGAGGTATCTATGGTAGATAGATTCACAGGGGCAGAAAGTAGAAGTGGGGCTACCAGAGACTGGCAGCCGTGGGAATGGAGAGTTGGTGTTTAATGGGCACAGGAGTTTCAGTTTGGGATGATGGAAGGTTCTGGAGCTGGAGGAGTTTAACAGGCACAGGAGTTTCAGTTTGGGATGATGGAAGGTTCTGGAGCTGGAGGAGTTTAATGGGCACAGGAGTTTCAGTTTGGGATGAGAAGGTTCTGGAGCTGGAGAAGTTTAGTGGAAATTTCAGTTTGGGATGATGGAAGGTTCTGGAGCTAGAGGGTGATGGCTGTACAACAGCAACGTTGATAGTCTTCACGTCACCAAACTGTAGGCTTCAAAATAGTCAAATGTCAATTTCATGTTAGGTATATTTTAACACAGTTCTTAAAAACGTGACTTACCTTGGTTTACCTATTCTAAGATGTACATTTTTTTTCACATTTTAACACGTAAATTAAAATTAATGTCTTACCACAATTTCTTTTTAGTAGTACATAATATAATGGTACAGTCTCATCATCACTGGATTCTTAGATTCAACGAAGCACAGCTTGTTTAGCGAGTCTCCAGTCAAGCCCTATGACACGCGTGAGTAACAGCTACCCTTCTCTGAGTGCTCAGCCTGCGTCAGGTACTAGGTTACCTGCACTACTCCAGTGCCTGCCAGCCCTATGAGAGACACGATTATCATACCCTTGAACAGATGAGGACGCTGGGTTAGAGGCCACATAGCTTGCTGCAGTCGCAGAGCTGAGACGCAGGACCTCACCTGGAAAATGCACTTTGTGCACTTCACCATCGCCCACGTCACTGGGAACTGGGAACAAGCAGTCCTGGCGGCCATAACTCCAGTTATAAGATCTGTCAATTAGGAAAAGCCACTAATCCACTTACTAGAGCAATCCTTAACTCCTGCTTTGGACCAGCTGTGCAAATCTGGCTCAGGAGACAAGAGGCAGCCCTCAGCCAAATGGACTGCAAGAACGCGGTGCATTCCAAATAGCAAGTGCCACCCTTCTGTTAATGCACTGCAACACAGCCACTGGCCACGAGACCTGAAAAACTCGGTCTACAGCTAAAACCCTTCTAAAAATTAAATCACACTCCAAAGCAGTGATGCAGAGACTTAACTTCTGAAAAATCTGCTTTGTGTCACCTCCACATCAAACCATTCGAATAAGACAGCTCAACTTCAAGGTTCTTAAAGACCTTTTTGCTCTATACTAGCTTTGTATTGCTGGCTTTGACCTAGCGGGGAAATAAGACATCTCAGAGCAGACTCTCAGCTCCTCAAATTACTTACACTCATACCTATCATTTTCATCATCATAATGGTTAAGTGAGCCATCACAGAGAAAAATTTGCCAAATACACAATGGAGGATAAGGGCAACAAAAACTTCAACTTTTTTTTTTTTTTTTTTTTTTTTTTTGAGACGGAGTTTCACTCTTGTTACCCAGGCTGGAGTGCAATGGCACGATCTCGGCTCACCGCAACCTCCGCCTCCTGGGTTCAGGCAATTCTCCCGCCTCAGCCTCCTGAGTCGCTGGGATTACAGGCATGCGCCACCATGCCCAGCTAATGTTTTTGTATTTTTAGTAGAGACGGGGTTTCACCATGTTGACCAGGATGGTCTCGATCTCTTGACCTCGTGATCCACCCGCCTCGGCCTCCCAAAGTGCTGGGATTACAGGCTTGAGCCACCGCGCCCGGCCTAAAAACTTCAACTTTTACCAGTACTTTTTTTTTTTTTTTTTTTTTTTTTTTTTTTTGAGATGGAGTTTTGCTCTTGTGACTGGGCTGAAGTGCAATGGTGCAATCCTCACTCACCACAACCTCCTCCTGTGTTCCATCGTTTCTCCTGCCTCAGCCTCCTGAGTAGCTGGGATTACAGGCATGGGCCACCATGCCCGGCTAATTTTGTATTTTTAGTAGAGATGTGGTTTCTCCATGTTGGTCAGGCTGGTCTCGAACTCTCAACCTCAGGTGATCCGCCTGCCTCAGCCTCCCCAAGTGCTGGGATTAGAGGTGTGAGCTGCTGAGCCCAGCCTAGTAAGCACTTTCTTAACAACTACAAACAGTATTTAGAAGAGGTAGTCCAATAATTACTACTGCCTCCTGACAGAAAACGGAAGAAATCAGGCTGAAAGAAATTCCAATAATGGGTAACACTAATGACTAAGTATTGTGTAACAAATTTTAGTCAAAGTAAAATATTGTTAGCCACAGTATAGGTACACTGAACTTATACACACAGACAAACATATACTGGCAAATATGGGAGATTTTAAAATCATCCAATTCAATATAGTATGAAGCATGTATTACGTCTGAATTCTTATTTCTCACACTTTGAAAATTCTGTAAATACCTTAATTGTCTAACGGTAAGAGTACCATTAGACAATTTCCTTCCTCTCTCCTTCTCTCCCTCCCTCCCTTTCTTTGATGGAGACTCACTCTGTTGCCCAGGCTGGAGGACAGTGGCGTGATCTCGGCCCACTGCAACCTTAGCCTCCCAGGTAGCTGGGATTATAGGCGCTCGCTACCACACCCGGCTAATTTTTGTATTTTTAAAAAGGGCGGGGTTTCAACATGTTGGCCAGGCTGGTCTCGAACCCCTAACCTCAGGTGATCCACCCGCCTTGGCTTCCCAAAGTGCCAGGATTACAGGTGTGAGCCACCACACTCAACCAAGACAATTTCAATGTACATTTTGCAATTCCTCCTATCTGTGGGCTAGACTTAGTCAAGTAATTGTACTGGCCACCTCACATGGCACCCGTTCTGGATTAGGTGCTGGGAAAATACAAATTTAACTTTAGTTCTCTACCCACTAGTACAGAGTGTGCTTCCTTTCCCAATAGAGAAACCACTGCTGTGAAATACCCTGTAAGGTAGCAGTCACTATGAGAAAACTATTTCCACACTGGCTCACTGATCTGGTTACGATGAAATTCGATAGTAAGTCACCCTGAACAGTAATCTTCTCATCCCTCTGAGCTTTAACAGACACCGAAGAAAGGAAAGGGCCAGTGAAACTGGGTATTGAAAGAAACGAAATTTTCTTCCACAGCCCTATGTTTCTTTGCTTTTTCTTTTTCTTTCCCTTGAGACAGGGTATTGCTCTGTTGCCCAGGTTGGAGGGCAGTGGCATGATCATAGCTCACTGTAAGCCTTGCAATAATGAGCTTATGCAATCCTGGGCTCAAGCAACCCCCTCCCCCACTACATGAAAAATTTAAATAGCTGCCATACAGCAAA